TAGAGTCTGGGATGGTAGGTTTCGAAGGTCTGCCCGAGGAATCCCGACCTCCTGTTGTGGATTCGCGCTAACGAACGTTTTAAATTATTACCCAAAGAGCCCAATATTGCTTAATTAAGGAATATTCCTTAAATCATATAGGGATCCTTAATATGATTTAAGGTATATTCCTTAATTAAGCAATATTGGGCTCTTTGGGTAAGCAATCTTTGACAATGAACCTCGGAGCTCAGAAAGCCATATAACCCTTAAAGCAACTAAGCCACCTTGCAGCCCACAACCCGAAGCAACCTAACCCCTCAAGTCCTAACCCTAAACCCCAAACCCCGTAGACCTCTGAATGCTTCAGAAGTCTAGGGCGTAAGGTTAAAGACTGCTCCGAAGCCCTCAACAAACCCGAACGATCCCAAACCCAATGCCTGCACTTTCCCTAAGGGTCCATGCACCTGATTATTATATACTTGGGCCTTAAGGTACCTCCTATACAGGGACTTTAGGGCCCAAGTCAATAATAATGAGGTACATGGACCCTTAGGGTTTCATAGACATAGTAGCCCAGTTTTTTGGCTGAGGGCCCCCTTATAAAGTAAGCAACCCAAAAAAGGGCGCCCTTTGTAATTGTAAAGGGTTCTTGGTTTTAGGGGTGGGGGTTATAGGGCTTTGGGTTTTGGGCTGTTAAGTTAGGGTGGCATATCCGATTAACAATCCCTAAACCCCAAACCCATGAACCGTAAACCCTGAACCCTGACCCGGTAACCCTAAACCAGGCCCAGTGCCTGCACTTCATGGCCGATCTGCGTCAGGATGCCAAGCCTGGGGTTAAAGAGGGTTTAGGGTTTAGGGTTTAGGGTTTAGGGTTTAGGGTTTAGGGTTTAGGGTTTTGGTTGAGGGTTTAGGGTTTAGGGTGCCGGGCAGGTTTTGTGCTTATCCTAAAACCCTGAATCCTAAACCCACATGGTTTTTTCGGCCACTCCCCTATTTGGACCCATCCGTGACCCAATAGCTCGCGCCAAACATTGGGCTGCTCCTGTGAAAACCATTGCGTAGAAGACTGGCCAGCTAGACATATCAGCTTTGCTGCACCTTGTTGTTTGTGGCAGACGCGACTGGAATCAAAGTTGCTGGACTACACCGTGCCATACCACACTAGCTGTACATTGCAGCTGAGTACAGCTGGCGACATATACTTCCTATAAACTGTTGTTTCGTATCGCACTGTATTGCTATAGTATGATCACATCAACAGTCTCTGCGTGTGTGACAGGTATAGTACTCGAGTCTAAAGCGTTCAGCTTTACCAGCGCTTCCCACACTCAGCTCTTTTCTTCAGCTTGACGGCCCGTCTGTGTTGGTTGATGGTTCTTGCTCATCGCACCCGGTTCCTACGACACAGTGAGTAAACCTCCTGATGCTGGAAGCCCTGGCACACAAACTCCCATGATTAAGGCTCTGGGTCCAGGTATGTAGAGGGGTTCTCGCGTCGTGGTTATGGCCAGCGTACCGATGCAGAGTCTGAGTTTAAACTACGGATCTCGCACTCGCTCTGCCATGTCGGACCTTTACCCGCTCTAGCTACCCGGTGCTTAAGATTACTTAAGACTGGTAAGCTTAGACCTGCGTTGCGCCGGCATAGGCATCAAAAAAAAATTAATAAGCATCAAAAAGAAAAATAATAGGGATCAATAAAAAAAATAGTAGGCATCAAAAAAAAAATAAGCCATCCGGCCCACCTGCGTGGTCCTCTGGTCCCGTGGTCCTCTGGTCCCGTGGTCCTCTGGTCCCGTGGTCCTCTGGTCCCGTGGTCCTCTAGTCCCGTGGTCCTCTGGTCTCGTGGTCCTCTGGTCCCGTGGTCCTCTGGTCCCGTGGTCCCCTGGTCTTGTGGTCCCCTGGTCCTCTGGTCCTCTGGTCTGCTTGTCTGTCCGCCTGGTCCTGCGGGTCCTATGCGTATAAATAAGTAATTAAGTTAGACAAATAAGTAAAAATCAATAAATATAAATATATATTATATACACACGATGGTGAAGGTCAACGTGTGTGGATATATATATATATATATATGTATGTATGTATGTATGTGCATATATATATATATACATATTCCATAATACACATTACATTACACATTACCTATTATATACTATACATTATACATTATACATTATATAATATATATTATATATTATATATTGTATATTATATATTATATATTATGTATTATGTATTACGTATTATGTATTACGTATTCTGTATTATGTATTATGTATTATGTATTACGTAGTATTATGTATTATGTATTGTGTATTATGTATTATGTATTAATTATGTATTATGAATTCTATATTATGTTTTATGTTTTATGTACTATGTATTATGAATTATATATTATATGTTTTATATTATGTATTCTGTATTATGTATTATGTATTATGTGTTATGTATTATGTATTATATGTTACATATTTATTATGTCGTATGTACTATGGATTTGTATTATATATTATATATTAATAATTATATATTATTATATCTATATATTATTATTATATATTAAATATATATATGTATTATTATATATTGCATATTACATAATATATTATATTTTATATTATATATTATATATATATATATTATATATTATCTGTGATACACTATATTTATATACATATATAATATCATTATATATATATATTTATTTTTCATATTGTCGTACATTATATGATATGTGTATGTATATAAATAAGTAAATATAAATATGAATAAATAAATAAATATAAATAAATAAATAAATATATGTATTTATATTTATATATCGCATATTGTATATTATATGTCATACATTGCATATCGTATATAAGATATTGCATATTATATACTGCATATAATGCATAATATAAAGTATATAATATATAATATATACTGTATACATAATATACAATATATAAAATATATAATATTATTTATTATTAATTGGTTTATTATTTATTATTCATTATATAGTATATTTTATATATTATGTAGTATGTCTTATATCTTGTTCTTTGAAGCCATTGGAATGCAAAGAAAATGGAAGTTTTTTGCTTAAAACAAGTAGAAGTAGAGTTTTTCCGATGGAAACATAGAGATAATAGAGGATTTCTCATGAAAACGTGAAGACAGTAGACGTTTTCTTGTGGGAGTATGAAGAAATAGAGGTTTTCCCATTGAAAGATCGAGAAACTAGAAGGTTTTGCAACCACTACCACCACTTCTACGCATCGTGCGAACATTGTTTGCAAATGGGGGGGGGGCTGCGCCCCCCCCAACCCCCCCGCTGCTTTTTGTAAGCTGTGCAAAGCGTGCTGCAAAGCCAAGTGGGGGGGTGTGGAGGGGGGGGGGGGCTGCGCCAACCCCAACCCCGCCGCGTTTTTATCAAGCTGTGCCACTGCAAAGCGTGCTTTATGAATCTTGTTGAAGCCATTGGGATACTAAAAAGTTTAAGTTTTTCTTAAAATACATGCAAATAGAGGTTTTCCGATGGAAACATGAAGAAATAGAGGTTTTCCCATTAAAAGATCAAAAAAATAGAAGGTTTTCCAACCACTACCACCACCCACTACTACCCGTCGTGCGACCCCCCACCCCCCCCCCCCCCCAAACCCCCCCCAACCCCCCCCCCCCCAACCCCCCCAACCCCCCCAACCCCCCCCCCAACCCCCCCCCCCAACCCCCCCCCCAACCCCCCCCCCCCAACCGCCCCCCCCCCAACCCCCCCCCAACCCCCCCCCAACCCCCCCCCCCCCCCCCCAACCCCCCACCCCCCACCCCCCCCCCCCCCCCAACCCCCCCCCCCCCCCCCCCCCCCCCCCCCCCCCCGCTGTATTCCAAGAGAAAATTGGTTATTTTTTTTTTGATGTTTATTTATTTTTTTTTGATCCCTTGGGGTTATTTTTTTTTTTGATGCTTATTTTTTTTTTGATCCTTCACCCCGTTGCGCGTGTTGCGCGGGTTATGTGAGTGATCCACTGTGGAAAGCAGCCTTTCTGTGTTCGTGGAGCCAAGCCTTGCAGGGGTTCTTCGGCAGCTGGCCCTGCCCATGGCCGCCCGGTATCTGAGTGACAACACTGGCCCAGCATGGTCCATCACCAATGACGTGAAGGCGCCCGTTGAGGTGCGGCTTGGTGAAGACAGGTGGCAGGTCCTCTACCCGCGCCGCAGCCTTTTGCTCCCCAGCGTGGATGCGGTGGTCCGTCTGCGGGAGGCTCCGCAAGTGGAGGGCCGCTGCTGCGAGGACACGTTGGATGATCTGCGGGTGTCGGAGCACTTCGGGCCCCTCAGCGCGGAAGCAAAGGCAAGGGACGCAACGGAGGCCCATGGCGCCGCGTGCGCGGCCGCGCGCCGGAAGGCCAACGAGGAGCGCCGCAAGGCAGAGGCCCAGGCCGAGGCCCGAGCTCTCAGAAACGAAGACGGAAAAAGAGAACTTTGCAAAAACCTGGTCCGTCTCACCATCCCCTTTGGCAGCGTGATCGGCATCGCCTGTGGCCGGCTTCGCTCTCTGCTGCTGCTGCGGCCTCAGCCTCTTCTTTTACCTCCCCTGCGGAGGCGAGGGGGCGCAGGGGGCGCGTGAGAGTGATTTTGAACAGTTTCATTTCGGCCCTTGGATTCAGTGCTACGGGCGCCTCACGCTCCTCTACATGGGTTTGGGCTTCGCGGCCTTGCTTGGGATGACTGTCCAGCACCTATAACCCCCTTGGGAATTATTTTTAATTTTTATATACAGTTCAAGAGGATATTAAAATTCATTAAGGTTCTAAGGGGGGTATAGGCACTCCCTGCTCGGCTACTGGTGGAGCTCCCTCATCATCTGGCCCCTCTCCTGCTGCTGCCCCGCGTTCGTCCTCTGGGTTCAGTGCTCCACGCGTCAGAAGAAAATTGGACTGACCAAAAAGGAGCGCAGAGCGCTCAAAAGGGAACGGGCCTTTGCTGCGGAGCAGGTCCTGAACCGCAGCATCGTTTTCAAGGGCATGGTCTGCAGGGAGCCCGGCCGGGAGTGCGTCGCCTCCTGGCCGGGGAAATATGAGTCTGCCTGGGACTCCTTGGTAGCTGGCGCTCGGCAAGGTGAAGTGAGTGCCGCCGTGGTCTTTCTGCCAGACGGCACGGAGCACTTCGGTTGCCACGACGAGATCCCACCTGAGGAACGCCTGGAAGGCAAATGCTGGTGCGTGCCGCTCTATGGTGAGCAGAAGAAGTGGGGGTGCCGATGGTGGAGCCACTGGATCGCCCCTTGGTGCTTGACAACCAGCATGGATCTTTACTGTAAGCGGATTTAGGGTTTGGGGTTTAGGGGTTAGGGCTTAGGGTTTAGGGTGCTATGCCCCCTATTCTTGCACTCGGCCCCAGGTTCAGGACGTCGGGGTCTGAGGATCGGGACTTCCCGGCTTCCTGTTTTATGCACAATGAATGTATCCAAAACCAATAATGACACCTTGAAGTATACCCTAGACGGCCCCATACCCAACGGAAACTTGTGTTTTCGCTCATCAAGCCATCTCCTGATCTAAGCCCTTCTACCCTGGTATCGGCCCCGGATTCAACACCATAGACACCCTTCGATCTAGCCGCTCCAATGAGCTGCACTGTACAACCCATCATCCTATACACACCTTTGCATCAGTCAAGTTCATGCCCTGCATATCATCCTGCTAGTCATTTACGGTCTAATGACGCCCAAACCTACACAAAGAGCCCCTAAACCCTAAACCCTAAACCCTAAACCCTAAACCCTAAACCCTAAACCCTAAACCCTAAACCCTAAACCCTACGAATTCCGATACCATCCTTAGCCAGCCAACAACGACTTTGTAAAAGCACACGGAGCCTTAGACCATGTTGCTCTCCGACTGAGCTGTGTGTCGTCCTCTTTCTTGCTTCCCGTCTCTACATCTTGTCTTTTGAACATGTGCATTGACACGGGGTACCGGTACATGTGTGAAACATTTACATGTGTGTAGCGTTGTGGAACCGAATTGCCTCGGGTGGTTGATGGACGAACTGAGGCGAACATTGAGACAGCCGTGAAGCACGATGCCGAGCTGCAGGTGTTTTTCTTCGAAGGTCTCACAGGGCAAGGCAAAGTTTCCAGCTTTGACACTGCGGGCGCTGAGCACCTCCGAAGGGAGGAAGTGAACAGCCGGCGCAAAGGTTTCATGAAGTCGCAGCAGTTCAAGGATGCCGTGGAAGCCGGCCTGAATGAGCTTTCCAATGAGCCTCGCTGGGACAGCTCGTCGCCCCGGTCGCGTGAAGTGGATCGGCTTTTTTTGACATGGCTACCCGCGAAAGACCGTGAGTTCCTGCAGGCATCCGAGGGGTTGGGCAATTCGCAGAAAGCGGAAGTAGCATGGCTTGAACGGAAAGGCTACAGTTACACGGAAGTTGATGTTTCAACTTGGCTGCATGTGGATGATGTCTCGGTTCCCGTCGCAAGGTCGCTGGAGCCAACGCCAAAGGCGATTGGCGGGCAGCAAGTATGAAGTTTTTTCAACTTATGCAAGCCGTACATGGAGTAGCCTGTCTTCTGGCAGCAAGCCAAACGAAGCCTAAAGAATTCGCGTCGGATGTCCTCTAGACATCCATGCGCAGAGCTTTTTGGGGATAGGGCCTGCAAGGCCTGTGTATGGGTTTTGGGCGGTAGTCACAGGGATCGACATTCGGTGTTCAAGGTTGAGGTTTTGTCCCTGGGCATGTCCTTGGGATATATGCGCCTAATGTTTCCCTAGTGGATTGAGGATTTAGGGTTCAGGGTTTTTTCTGGCCTTGGGAATAGGCGCCATTTGGGGTTTCCGAAAATATGGGACCCCCAAGATCAAACCCCCAAATAGTAGGATTCCCTTCTAATTTTGGCTCAGGGAAGGTCTAGGATTTTCCAGGCAGGCCCCTGGGATTTGTTTTGCCACAATTGTTCCCCTTGGCTTAAGAGGAATTTAGGATTCAGGGTTTAGGGTTTAGGGCAAGGGTTTCATGAGAGCATATGTTGGAGAGTTCAATGCTGGGTTGTGCTTGGGGATAATTTTTCGTGTCCCTTCTTTCCTTAGAAGTGAACCTGTTCATAAATATGTTTAAAAGCGAGCCTGTTCAGAAAGTAATTGTTCAAGGAGTTCAAGGGTTTAAAGCACAACCAAGAATGAGTCAATGAGTTACCTTGGCTGTGAGCACTCGCCATCCTCAGCCGCAGCTACATCCCAAAACGCGTTCGCCCTTGAGGCAGGAACGCCCCAAAGCCCTGAACCTCAAAACCCCAAAACCCAAACCCTAAACCCCAAACTCCAAACCCCAAACCCTAAACCCTAAACCCCAAACCCTAAACCCTAGACGCTAAACCCTAAACCCTAAACCCTAGACCCTAAACCCTAAACCCTAAACCCTAAACCCTAAACCCTTGCCAGCCGAAACCCTGTGCAAGCGACGTCCCAGGTAGTCAGATGGGCGACCTGGATGCTGCCTTGGAGTGCGCGGAAGAGCGGCTGGCGGTGCCTCGGGGTTTAGGGTTTCGGGTTTTGGGTTTAGGCTTTAGGGTTTAGGGTAAACCTCCAAATTGCAGCCGCTGGGGTTTAGCGGTTGAGGTTTTGCCTGAAGCTATATACCCGGACTGAAGGGCTGCTTGGCCCACGCAGGCACCTGACTGTTACACATGTAAAATGTATTTACATATAGGTATACGCACACACACACACACACTTATATGCCGGAGTGTTGCGTAGTGGTTGGTTGGTTTAGGTTTGAGCTTTAGAGTTAAGGGTTTAGGATTTAGGGCTTTAGGGCTTTAGGGTTTAGGGCTAATTAGGGCTTAGGGCTTAGGGTTTAGGTTTAGGCTTTAGGGTTTAGGGTTTAGAGTTTAGGGCTACAGGGTGACGAGACAGGTGCGGCTTCGGGCTTAGGGCTTTGGGTTTAGGGCTTAGGGCTCAGGGCCTAGGGTTTAGGGTTTAGGGTTTAGGGTGTAGGGTTTAGAGCTACAGGGTGTTGGGTGTTGAGACAGGTGCTCAGATCTCTGCACGACCTGAGCATGGAGGCCGCCAGAGTCGGGCTTGGGATGCTCCCCCTACACCCTAAACCCTAAACCCTGAACCCTGAACCCTAAACCCTAAACCCTAAACCCCCCTAAGCCCTAAGCCCTAAGCCCCGAACCCTAAACCCTCACAACCCTAAGGCCCTAAGCCCAAAACCCTAAGGCCCTACATCCCTAAGGCCAGAAACCCAAAACCTAAGGCCCGAAACCCCAAGCCCTAATGCCCTAAAACCCGGAAAACCCAAAAACCCGAGGCTCTAAGCCATAAACATTGCGGCTTTCAACCCTAAATACTAAACCTTATGGCCCTTTCTCAACTGCCTTCCTAATGACAATCTTGCCTTCAAGTGGTACGTACTACATAGGACCCAGAGTAGGCTCTCATTCCCATTTTTTCGGGGCCAGGTTCCTTTAAAACGTCATATTCGCCGAAAACATGTGCCCGGTGTACCCCTTTGAATTCGGGTTTAGGGTTTAGGGTTTAGGGTTGAGGGTTGAGGGTTGAGGGTTGAGGGTTGAGGGCTTAGGGTTTAGGGTTTAGGGTTTAGGGTTTGAAAAGGTTAGGGTTTAGGGAGTTTAGGGCTTATCCGGGATCTAGTAAACCCTTCAACCCGAGGGCCGATCCTCTCCACACCCGACTTCTGGGTTTTGGGGGGTGCAGCCCTAAACCCTAAACCCTAAACCCTAAAACCCCTCAACCCGGTACCCATTAAGCCGAAGAAGTTTTGTGCTATAGGCTCAGGGCTTAGGACCCTAAACCCGAAACCCTAAACCCTAAAACCCTAAACCCTAAACCCTAAACCCTAGCCCTAAACCCTAAACCCTATACCCGGTACCCATTACACCGTTCAACCTTGAGCCGTGAAGACCATGTCAGCTGCCTGCCAGGCCAACGCCATGATGCAGCTCGCCAACCTGCACATCAAGGTGCCCATCCCTTCTTTGGTTTGGGGTTTAGGGTTTAGGGTTTAGGGGGGAGGTGTCGGGATTTCGGCTTAATGGTCGTTCGGGGTCTTGGGTTTAGGAGGTTTTTGGGTTTTGGTTTGGGGGTCATGACGCTTGTTGTCTAAGTGCCCAAAAAGGGGGCGGGGTAGCAATGACCCACGGAGACCGGGAGTGGGTCTGAAAAAGGAGGGACACCCCTCAACACCTAGGTTCCTGGCACCCAACCCCTGACCCCTGAACCGTAACCCTAAACCCTCTGAACCCTGAATCCTTACTGGTCCCTTACTATGTCTCAGACACAGCAACGCCACATCAAGATCTGCCGCCACGAGCATAGACCCACAAGCATGCTGTAGTGGTCTGGCTCCTCTGCGCAGAACCACCCGAGAACCTCAATGCCCAAACCCTCAAAATCCAAACCCGCACCCCTGAACCCCCAAACCCCAGCCCCGAAACCCGAAACCCTAAACCCTAAACCCTAAACCCTAAACCCTAAACCCTAAACCCTAAACCCTAAACCCTAAACCCCAAACCCCAAACCCCAAACCCCAAACCCCAAACCCCAAACCCCAAACCCTAAACCCCTAAACCCACAGCCCCGCCTCCCCGCCCGCAGCGAGCCTCCAGGATGACAACTTCGAGGAGGCGGAGCGCCTGGCTAAGGACTGGCATGGGGGCCGTTTGGGGTTTAGGGTTTAGGGGTTTAGGGACTTAGGGTTTAGGGTGTAGGGTTTAGGGATTGAGGGATTTAGGGTTTGGGTTTGATGGTAAAAAGGGCTTGACCAACTGGAAAAATGTCAGCCCTAAACCCGAAAGCCGCAGCCCTAAACCCTTAACCCTGAGTACGCTGTGGCCACCGCTAGGGATTAAGGGTTAAGCCCAGATCTTCCAAAACCCCTTAGTGTTGGGAATATGCCGCTAATATGCCATCATTTTTTACGAAGGATCCATTAAGTATTTTTGTGCATGAGCGTTTGCCAAGGAAACGGTCCTGTATCCGACGGCAAAGCTGGCTGCGTGGGCGATTGTGCGCAAGGCCAGCAAACAACTTCGTGCCAACTTGAGTATGCCGGCGCTCCCGCAGACAAGATCCACCCAGGCCTGGCCTGGCTTAGACGGCGTGTGCAGTATGGACAGTTGGCCTCTGTCAGCGTTGTTGGCGCAGGAGTCAGCTGCAGTTCGCCTTGCCTTGATCTCGCTCGGTGACTGCAAGTGAATGTCAAACTAGGGTATATTCCCGACTTACGGGATTTTGGAAGATCTGGGCGGGTTCAAGGGACTGGTTCCCAGATCGCTCTTGAAGGTAGCTCTGGCTGCACGGCCTTTTAAAACCCAAAACACTAAAACCCCCAAAACTTGGGGATGTTCCCCTTATACTAACAGTCCTGAATGGGGATCATAAGAGGGGGTACTAGAATCCCTGTAAGGGGGAGGAACAGCCCAACCCTAAACCCTAGAATGCCCTAAGACCTCCCATCTTGCACCCTTTTTTTCAACCCGGTGCAGTTTCTCTTGGGATGCTTGGCGCCTTCCGCCCCTAGAGCTCTTGGGATTATGCCTTGGACCCTGAAGGTTGTATCCTTGGGCTTTGGGGGGAGACATGTTAAAGATCCTTAAGGTCGTATGTGCCATGTGGGGAGTATACGAAGGGGAACCTTTAGGGTTTACATCCTTAGGGGTCCGAGTCTTAATCCCTAGAGCGACTTCAAGGTTCATGGTACTTGTTAGCCAATTATAACTGGTGACTTGTAACCCAATTCATAACCATACTAGAGCACTTCAGGGGCTTATAAGTGGGTTATAGGTACGGTTCTAGTTATTTAGGGTTTAGGGTTTAGGGTTTAGGGTTTAGGGTTTAGGGTTTTAATTGGTTAATAAGTATGTCCAGGAGTCGCACGACCTCGGAAAGAAGGATCGCAATCCGAGGCGCGGGGCTTGTGTTGCTAGGGTTGGCTCAGGGCCTTTGAAAAGTTTGGGGTTACCCTAAACCCTAAACCCTAAACCCTAAACCCTAAACCCTAAACCCTAAACCCTAAACCCTAAACCCTAAACCCTAAACCCTAAGCCGCAGCACTCCCTGGCATGCCTGGATGCAATGCGGATGGTCCCCCGGCTCTGCCGGCAAAAGAGCTTTGACCTTAAGTCGGCCTACAAGCAGTTGCCCGTGTCAGTGAGGTCCCGGAAGCACGGCGCGCACAATGCGCGGCCAGGGTGAGACCCAAGGTGTTCAAATCGATTGCGCTCCCTTTCGGAGCCGGTCTTCACTGATAGGGTTTAGGGTTTAGGGTTTGGGGTTTAGGGTTTAGGGTTCAGGGTTTAGGGTTTTGGGTTTAGGGTCTAGGGTGAATGCCTATGTGGCCGCAGAGGCTTCCTTCGCTCTCCTAGGGTTGGGCCTTCGACAGGGATGGTGACAACACACACACACCTCCTCCAAAGCACGTTTTTCCTACCCTGAAGAGGTCGTGATTCCATTGTCGTCCATGGGGGTCAAGCAGGGATTCAGATGGCGGAAGAGAGGGGAACTAAACCCTAACCCTAAACCCTAAACCCTAAACCCTAAACCCTAAACCCTAAACCCTACTCCCAGGGTTTACTCCAAAGTAGGGGACGAAGGCCACGTATATGTCGGCAGAGCAGATGAGCCCCTGAGCTCCGAAACCCCGAAACCCTAAACCCCCATCTAAACCCTTGAACCTCCAGACCGACTAGACCCTGATGCCCTTAGGGTTTAGGGTTTAGGGTTTAGGGTTTAGGGTTTAGGGAACCCTAACCCCCTAACCTCTGAACCCTCAAACCCCCAGAATCTAGGATCCGGAGTAGGCCTGTATTTCTTTTTTTTTGGATTGTGGTTCCCTCATAATCCCCTTAAACCCCAAAGGGGTACCCTTTTCATTCCTGGGTTACTCCTGGGTCTCGTAGTTGGACCCTCAACGCCTAGACCGATCCAGCGCAACAGAGAAGCTCAAACCCCAAAGCACCAACCCACAAACCCAAAATCCCTCGAAGGGGCTGCGGGTTTAGCTGGGTCTAACCCAGATCTTCCAAAACCCCTCAATTAAACAACAGACCCTAGTATATACTACGGGTCACTATTCTGACTTGTGGTATATTCCTTAAGGGTTTAGGGTTTAGGGTTTAGGGTTTAGGGTTTAGGGTTTAGGGCTTGGGTTTTCGGCCCTAAGCTTTACACCCTAGACGAGACCCTAGACCCCAAACCCTAAGCCCTGAAGCCCGGAACCCTAAACCCTCGGTTTAGGGTTTAGGGTTTAGGGTTTAGGGTTTAGGGTTTAGGGTTTAGGGTCAAACACTATAAACCTTAAAGCCCTAAACCTTTAAGACTTAAGACGGTACGTAAGCCCTAAACCTTGAAACCCCAACAACCACCCTAAACCCTAAACCCTAAACCCTGAACCCTGAACCCTGAACCCTGAACCCTCAACAGGAACTAGGACCCGAGTAAGCCCTTGTTCCCTGGTTCCCCTGGCAAGCCCCTTTAAGCCAACAAGTGCACCTTTTTGATTCCTAGGTTACTCTTGATTCTAGCCCTAAACCCTAAACCCTAGCCTTAAACCCTAAACCCTAAACCCTAAACCCTAAACCCAGAAACTCCGCTGCCGCAGGGTGCAGATCGACGCCTTGCTGCTGCAAGCCCAGCTCCTGAACACCAAGGTCCTCGAGAAGCCCGAGGCCCGCGAAGCTCACCAAGCTCAGGGTTAAAGGGCATTTTTCAGGGCACGGTTTAGGGTTTAGGGTATAGGGTTTTTTAAGGCTTTTTTGGGGGGCCAAGGTCCTCGAGAAGCCCGAGGCCCGCGAAGCTCAGGGTTTTAAGGCCATTTTGTCAGGGTTTCTTAGGGTTTTTTAGGGTTTCTTAGGGTTTTTTGCTCAAGGTTTAGGGCTTTAGGGGGCAAGTTGGGCATTTTTAGGTTTTTTTTTTCAGGGTCTTTCTTCGGGGTTTTTGGGGTTTGATGGTTTTTGGGTGTTTAGGGCCATAGGGCTTTAGGGGCTTTAGGGGTTTTAGGGCTCAGGGTCGAGTGAGTGTTTAGGCCACTTTTGTAGGGTCCTTAAGGGAGGGGGTTCATGGGGGGGTAGGTACCTGGGGAACCCTGGGGAAGCTGAGGGAGCCTTAGGGAGTAGCGGGGAAGAATATTAGGGACACTTGGGTTACTTACCGCCTCGAAACCCCCCCCCCCCCCCCCCGTAAGAACCCCCCAAAGAGCCCAATATTGCTTAATTAAGGAATATACCTTAAATCATATTAAGGATCCCTATATGATTCCCTATATGATTTAAGGAATATTCCTTAATTAAGCAATATTGGGCTCTTTGGGCCTATAACACTATGTCACATTTGCGCTGCCAAAGCCTCTCGGACACCCCCGCCCCCCCCCCCCCCCCCCAGAGACCCCCGTGAGGTTTGGGACTTGGGTTCCCTAAGCCCTAAGCCCTAAACCCTAAACCCTAAGCCCCAAACTCCCTAAACCCTAAAGCCCGAAACTCTAAAGCCCGAAACCGGAAACCCCTAGAAACCGACGGCTTTTTGCTGACGACGTCGAGGTTGAGGGCCTAGAGAGGCAAGTCCCCAAGACAGGGGCTCCTCTATAACATCCTTAAAACACGATAGTCCTTGCCATACGAACTCCCCAAAGACGGTGTCCCTATGTTCGGACATCCCCAGAAGAATGTCCGGCAGTAGGCCCACGCACAATTGAAATAGCAGCCTGTTGAACTTCAAATGGCTATTTCTGACTGTGGTAGACGTATCTGGGGGTTACAAGTGAATTAGCATGGCTCCTTGGTGAAGTGGGAGTTTCCGAAAATAGGCGTACCTTATTGGGGTCCTCATTATAAGGGAATCCTACTGTTTGGGGGTCTAGATTGGGGCTCCATTGCTTTCGTAAACCCCCCAGGTGGTTGTTTTCAGCATTCACAAGCCTTTTCACCCTAAACCCTAAACCCTAAAACCCTAAACCCTAAACCCTAAACCCTAAACCCTAAACCCTAAACCCTAAACCCTAAACCCTAAACCCTAAACCCTAAACCCTAAACCCTAAACCCTAAACTTTCTTGACTTGCGATGAGGGCCGATGGCAGTCCCTGTCATTTCTTTTGCTCGAGAAGCATCGATTCGGCCTCAGCTAGTACTCCTCACCCCCTAGGTTTGGGGTTTAGGGTTTAGGGTTTAGGCTTGAAGAATCCGGAAGAGCCACAAAATCCACGAAGAACGACCCCTTTCTGAGCAGGACAAAGCCATGAAGCCCTTCACGGATCGGGCAGTTCGAACTGTGAACGAGGCGGGGCGGACCCCGAGCTTGAGCCCAGATCTTTCTCAAAACCCCTTAATTAGGGTTTAGGGTTAAGGAATATTCCTTAATTCTACTAAGGGTCACTATTTTGAATTAGGGTAGATTCCTTGATTAAGAGGTTTTGGAAGATCTGGGAAGCAGGAAGTACACTATTTGTTTAAGAACACGCAAACAGAATAGTCCCGACATGGTCTGTTCTCCCAATTGTGGTCCCTTCTTGGGTACCCTAAAGAAAAGGGGCCGCCTTGCAACAAGGACCACCATAATTTTGAGGCATCGTCATATGATTTTTTTTTTTGGGGGGGGTTCTTAAGCGAACAGCAGAATATCAAGTAGGGCTTTAATTAGGGCTTTGGCCGAAGACCTTTACATGCACTTACAAATACCCCTAACTCCTGCACCTTCAACCCTAAATCCTACACAACCTTCTGCGAACGAGGGTGCCTCTCCAAACTGGGGCGACAGCTGTTGCCCTCCACTGCAACTGTACTTGCCGGACCTTCGCAGCACTTCGCACCGCTTGCTGCGAGACACAGCTTGTGCTGCTCTGGGAAATGGTCCGATTCTGGATTGCTTGCCCTGTTTACAGCAAGGAGCTAGCAGACTCAGGGCCACCAGAACAAGGGAAGACCTGCAGGCGAGTGCCTTCAAAGGCCATATTGCCTGGGCATTTAGTTTTTGGGTTTTAGGGTTTAGGGTTTAGGGTCCGATCTTAGTGCACCCAAAGCACTTCAGGTTATAGTGTCCCAATGCCCGTTATCAGATTACTAGACCCCGACCCCGTATCAAGAGTCCTGAGATACCGAGCTCCGCAGCCTTGAACCCTATACCGCGAGCCCGAAAGCAAGGCTGGGGATTCTTCAGGTATACCTCGACAAAGACCTCAACACCAAGACCCGACACCCCAAAGCCCCAAGTCCTAAACCCAACTCACTAAACCTCAGAAACCCTAAGCCCTAAACGCCCAAACCCTAAACCCCCAAAGCCTGAACCCCCCAACCCCAAACCCCGAAACCCCGAAACCCCTAAACCCAAACCCCCAAACCCCCAAGCCCCTAAACCCGAAACCCTACACCCTAGTGCGAAACCCTAAACCCTGAACCTAGTCCTAAACCCTGAACCCTCAACCCTAAACATAAGTCTTAAACCCTAAACCCTAGCCCTAAACCCGAAACCCTAGCCCTAAACCCTAAACCCCAAACCCTACCGCAGGCCTTGCAGGTGGCTGGCAAGGCCGAGAACCGCGGGCTCCGCGCGCTGGTGCTGTTCAAGCGGGCGGAGCACCTCGGAGATGCTCTTACGTGGGTCGCCCTAAACTAAATAAATCCTAACCCTAAACCCTAAACCCTAAACCCTAAACCCTAAACCCTAAACCCTCAACCCTCAACCCTCAACCCTCAACCCTAAACCCTAAACCCTAAACCCTAAACCCTAAACCCTAAACTGAACCCTAAACACTGGAATCCCATGTGCCCCCTGCCCTTAGGAGCACGGGTCAGGACCATTTGGTGTCATTTCGTCCTTGCTTGGGTGTTCTGTTGGGGGGGTTCATGGCTCTAAGAACATGTTTTCTTAGCCCTAGACCCTTAACCCTTGAGCCTAAACCCTAAACCCTAAACCTTATTTAGTCCCTGTTTGGGCGTTCATGGGTCTAATGGGGTTCTGGGGCCCTTACACCCCCACCCAACCACTCCTCCACAGCCTCCCATTTGCTTCTTCTGGGTTCTCTGCGGTTTAGGGTTGAGGGTTCTAATCTACTATGTGCTGAAGGACTCCTAAAAAATAGAACCCCCTATATGGGGTGTGGGTTCTTAAGCAAATAGTAGTACACCCCTAAAACCTTGAACCCTTAAAACCCCTGAGCCTCGAAACCCTAACGATCGCATCACAAACCGCCTGAAACCCTGAACTCCTAAACTCTCAAAGTGCTGCAGCTGAGGACGATGGTCTTGGCCGGCAGGCAAGGGGTCCTGGTGATTATAGGTGAAGTGTTCAGGGGTTAGGGCAAGTGTTACCCTAAAGACTAATCCCTAAACCCTAAACCCTAAAATCTAAACCGTGGGCTTGGCGTTTCCGTGCAGCTGGGCCGTGGGATGAAGCGTTTCGGGACTTCCGGGGCGCCTCGGGCCCAAAACCCTAAAGCCCCCGAAGCCCCAGAACCTTCTAGGGTTTGAATAGGGTTTAGGGTTTAGGGTTAAGGCTTTCCCTTTCTTGGGTTTAAGAGGGTCATATTCCGGAATACATGGCAACACCTTCCTCACACAAGCTCCTAAAGTCGCCAAAGTCCCTCAACCCTCACCTTATATAAACGCTAAACCCTAAACCCTAAACCCTAAGCCCCAAACCCTAAACCCTAAACCCTAAACCCTCACCTCTGCAGTCCCTCAAGCCACCCAAAAGGCCCCACAAGACCCCAAAGTAACCCTAAACCCTAAACCCCAAACACTAACCCCAAACCCTAAACCCCAAACCCTAAACCCCAAACCCTAAACCCCAAACCCTAAACCCTAAACCCTAAAGTGGGAGGCATCAGACCGGCCTTAGGGACGTCAAGGAGGCCACGGGCATCTTCGAGGTGCCGTTGCGTGGTTCTGGTTGGTTTAGGGTTTAGGGTTTAGGGTTTAGGGTTTAGGGTTCAGGGTTCAGGGGTTTAGGGGTTTAGGGGTTTAGGGGTTTAGGGGTTTAGGGGTTTAGGGGCTTAGGGTGTTGGGATCATAGGTTTAGGATTTTGGGCCTCGATCCCGGCCGATGTCACCACCCGTGAACCCCTAAGCGCTAAACCCTAAACCCTAAACCCTCGCTCCCCAATCCAAAACCCTGAAACGAAAGAAAGAAAGCTGAAGCGGAAGCCAGGCCAACAACACCCCTGAACCCTAACAAACCCTTTAGAGTTTAGGGTCGGGTTTAGGGTGAGTTAGGGTTTAGGGTTTGGGGTTTGGGGTTTGGGGTTTAACCTTCAGACAAACCTTTAAACCGAAGTACTTCTACCGAACGCCTGAAAAGCCTCCAGCCTCTTAAAGCCACAACAACTCACCCTACGTCATCAAACAACTGCCTCAACCCAGGCCTGGCGAAAAGACACATACGAAGGATACCCGTTTCATTCTTCGACTACTGGGCAAGCCCAAGCCTGAAGCCCTAACAAATCCATGAACCCTAAGCCATAGAGCCCTAATCTACACTAAACCCTAAACCCTAAACCCTAAACCCTAGACCCTAGACCCTAGACCCTAGACCCTAAACCCAAGCTACTGAAATAGGAGATGGACCACTACCAAGCCCTCGGCCGTTGCCTGCTCCTGTCGGGCAACATCAAGCACGCGCTAGGCGGGTTGAGTTAGGGTTTAGGGTTTAGGGTTTAGGGTTTAGGGTTTAGGGTTTAGGGCTTAGGGCTTAGGGCTTAGGGCTTAGGGCTTAGGGTTTAGGGTTTAGGGTTTAGGGTTTAGGGTTTAGGGTTTAGGGCTAGGTTGTGTTTTTGAGGTTTAGGGTCTAGGGTTTAGGGGTAGTACGTTTCTGGGTTTTGGGGTTTTGTGCTTAGGAAGTTAGGAGTAGGTCGAAAGTGTTTGGCTCTAGCAGCCTGGCGTGTAAAGAGTATGGGCTGTGCTCCAGGCACACGGCCAAAGCATGCAAAAGAAGATTATTCACATAGCACAGGCACCTTAAGCTCCAACCCTAACCCGAAACCCAAACCCCAAACCCCAAACCCCAAACCCTAAACCCTAAACCCCAAACCCCAAGCACTAAACCTCCAACCCGAAACTGCAAACCCTAAACCCCTAGCCCTAAATTCATGGGTTTCCCTACTACCCCCCTCTCTGCCCCCCCCCCCCCCCCCGGGTAGATTCCCCCCTTAAGTAGCCCTCAGTAGGCTGAAGTATCCCTACATAGATGGGCTCAGGGGGGTAAACCCTAAACCCTAAACCTTTAGACCCTAAACCCTAAACCCTAAACCGGTAGTCGGGGAACCAATGTCAGCCTTGAATCCGCGAGTTCAGTGCCAGGGCAGGAAGAGGCGGGCGCCGCCGATGTCGACCGGGCAGACTTCATCGCCAAGGAGACGTGGGGCCTGGTGTTTAGGGTTCAGGGTTTAGGGTTTAGGGTTTGGGGTTTGGGGTTTGGGGTTTAGGGTTTAGGGTTCAGGGTTCAGGGTTTAGGGTTTAGTTAGGTTTTGGAGTTTAGGGTTTAGGGTTTAGGGATGCGAGTGCTTACGGTGCAGTTTCTATATAGGGCTACAGCTTTCGTTGTTTCTGTTATGGTTTTCAAAGAGGGTGTATCTCTAAACCCTAAACCCTAAACCCTAAACCCTAAACCCTAAACCCTAAACCCTAAACCAGGAGATTGGCGACCAGCAGCTTGCGGACGAGGCCGAGCTAGGGACGACCGGTGCTTGTTGGTCTAAAAGTTACCTTTCATAGGGCTTGGGGTTTAGGGGTTTAGGGTTTAGGGTTTGGGGTTTGGGGTTTAGGGTTTAGGGTTTAGGGTTTAGGTGGTGTTGTTGTTGTGGCCGTCGACGTCGTTGTTGCTGTTGCTGCTGTTGTCTTTGTGCGACAATAGTCATAGTTTTGTGATTGCGATGTTTTCATTACCACTCTTACAGTTTGTTTAAGCTCCAAGCCCTACACCCTGGACCCTAAGCCCCAAGAGCTTCCAGATGCACCTGGACAGTGCAAATGAGTTTCTAGCCCTAAACCCTAAACCCTAAACCCTAAACCCTAAGACTGAAACACCCTACACCCAATCAGCCTCAGAAGCCTTATTCGGGCCGGAAGGAAAAATTTGGGGTACACGTCCCAGTTTCAAACCCTAAACCCTAAACCCTAAACCCTAAACCCTAAACCCTAAACCCTAAACCCTAAACCCTAAACCCTAAACCCTAAACCCTAAACCCTAAACCCTAAACCCTAAACCCTAAACCTAAGTAGGCCCCTAAATAACCTCTAAGGCCCCTCACAAGCGCCCCTCCTTTAGACCCCAGACCCTGCAGGTGCAGTCGTTCCGCAAGGCCTTGGAGGAGTACCGGGTTACGGCTGTTAGGGTTTTTTGGGTTTTTTGGTGTTTTTAGGGCTTTTAGGGTGTTTAGGGCTTTTAGGGCTTTTTGGTTTTTTTGGGGTTTTTTTTTTTTTAGGGTTTTTAGGGTTTTAGGGTTTTAGGGTTTTTTTAGGGCTTCTAGGGCTCTTAAGGCGTTTTTAGAGTTTGCAGGGTTTTTAGGGCTTTTAGTGTTTTCAGGGCTTTTAGGGCGTTTAGGTTTTGGGGCTTTTAGGGTCTTGAGGGTGTTTACGGTTTGGGGTTTAGGATAGCTTGTGGGGTTTTGGAGTGTGTGAAGCCGATGTTTTTGAACGCGAGGGTTTCGGGTTTTGGGTGTACATCTAGGCCTGTAGGGGCTTGCGGTAGCTTTGGGTGAGCTATGCTTGGGGTGAAAGGGCTTCGGACGCTCATGGCTGTTAGGGTTCGTCGGGCTTAGTGTTTCTAGGATATTCAGGGGTTTATCGGTTTTGCGGTTTATGGGTTTGGAGTTGCACAGTGATCATAGGGTCCAACGGTTTGTGTGTATTGTACCATGCCCAGTCCCAAACCTCAACCCCCTGAAGCCCTAAGCCCCTGAACCCCCGAAGCCTGTATCCCGAAGCCCCTAAACCTAGACCCCAAACTGCCCCAAACCCGAAACTGCCCGCAACCCTGAACCCTAAACCCTAAACCCTGAACCCTGAACCCTAAACCCTAAACCCTGAACCCTGAACCCTGAACCCTGAACCCTGAACCCTGAACCCTGAACCCTGAACCCTGAACCCTGAGCCCTGGACTTCGTGATTGCTGCTCGGGACATTGCGCATCGTACTCCCTAAGAAAGATGAGGGGGTCCCCAAAACCCAAGGGTGCGACCTTAGGGGCCACCCATTCCTAACCCGAAGTCGGTTAGTTCTGGTTGAGGGTCTAGGGCTTAGGACTTGGGGCTTGGGGCTTAGGGCTTAGGGTTTAGGGTTTAGGCCTTAGGGTTTAGGGTTTAGGGTTTAGGGCTTAGGGCTTAGGGCTTAGGGTTAAACGGTTTAGGGTTTAGGGCGTCTCGCCGCGCAGCGGCAGTAAGTACGATGCGAAAATGGCGCCCCACACGCACACCCACAGGGGTGTGGGGTTGGGGGGGGCGGGGAGGGGGGGGGAAGCCACGCGAAGACATCTGTTTTCCAATCCAACAATTTTCATTGGTACCAGGTTTCTTTCTCCCCCCGCCCCCCCCCCCCCCCCCCCCCCCCCTGTGAGCTTTCACAGGCCACCACCCTAACCATTGCCTTTTGGGTTTCAGGGCTGCCGCCATCCATCAAGGACGCTTCAAACAGGGGGGAGGGCACAACCAGACAGGCCAGAAGGGGGTTCGGTGTTGGGCTGCCGGGTACAGTTCTGGGTCCAGGCACCCTAGAAAAAGGGTGGGTTGGTGCGGGCTAAGCAGGCCGGGTGGGAAGGGCTAGGGTTTAGAGGGGTGAAACCTAATCCGAAACCCTAAAACCCTAAAACCCTAAACCCAAAAACCCTAAAACCCTAAAGCCCTAAAACCCTAACGCCCTAAAACCCCTAAAACCCCGAAACCCTAAAACCCCAAAACCCTAAAAACCCTAAAAACCCTAAAACCGTAAAACCCTAAAACCCTCAAACCCTAAATCCGAAAACTTCAAACCTCAACGTCATCTCCAGGAGAAGCGGCTCGAGAAGGAGCGCGCCGCGCAGGTGCAGCCGCTGGGCCGCGATAGCAGGGTGCCCTTCATCCTAGGTGGGATTGGGCGCTTAGGGTTTAGGGTTTAGAGTTTAGGGTTTAGGGTTTAGGGTTTAGGGTTTAGGGTTTAGGGCTAGGGTTTAGGGTTTTCGGGTTTTAAGGGGCTTTTTAGTGTTTGAGGGATGTTTGTGAACGAATTGTTGTGCTTCCCGGTGGGACGGCCCGAGGGTTTTCAAGGCTTGGGGCTCCGAGGGTTCAAGGCCTTGGGGCTTTAGGGCTTCCCCAAAGAGCCCAATATTGCTTAATTAAGGAATATTCCTTAAATCATATAGGGATCCTTAATATGATTTAAGGTATATTCCTTGCGCCTTTGGGGTTCAGGGCATGGGGTGCTTTAGGGTTTGGTTTGGGGTTTGGGGTTGGGGCTCGAGGGTTTGGGGCTTGGGGTACTTTAGGGTTTAGGGTTCAGGGTTAGGGTTCAAGGCTCGGAGTTTTGGGGGTTTAGGGCTTGGGGCTTTAGGGATTAGGGCTTCGGGGCTTGGGGTATAGGGTTTAGGGTGCCTTTTCCCAGTCGTTCGGGTTTAGGATTTTGGGGCTTTAGGGGTTTCGGCCTGAGTTGAGGGTGGGCTCTGCTCTGGACCATTTTCGGTGGCTAGCCTCCCTATGGTTTAGGGTTTAGGGGTTCAGGTTCAGGGTTTCAGTCAAGGGAATGTGCCCCGAAGAGGTTCCGTCAAACTACTGCTAGTATGGTCCTATTTTTCTTAGAGGATGCTGTCCTGGGCACCTCTAGGATCAGCGGAGGTGGTGATGGTTCTGACTGAGCTGCACACCGAGAGTGCCCAATTTGAGGTCTCGAGGAGCAGCAGAGGATATCCAAAGTGTGGCAATGCTTCCTGCCCTGCAATCAAGGACAATGAGGTGATCGTTGGACCTGCCCTGTGTGTCCAGCTAGATTCGGAGGAGTACGAGAACCAGTGCGTATCCCGTAACTGAGGACGATACCTTACATGATAGTAAGAACCCTCATCGCTACAACCCTGAACCCAAAAACCCGAACACCTAAACCCGAAACCTCACACCCAAAAAACTCCAAACCCTTAAAGCCCTTAATGCCCCAAAACCCTCTGCCCTTCAAGCCCTAAAACCCTAAACCCTAAACCCTAAACCCTAAACCCTAAACCCTAAACCCTAAACCCTAAACCCTAAACCCTAAACCCTAAACCCTAAACCCAGCCCTTTTTAAAGGGCCCTTTTTAAGGATCGAGCAGCCCCAGCTCGTGGCGCCCACGCCCGGGGCGGCGGCGGTGCCGACGCAGCAGCCGGAGGCGAGGGCCCTTAGGGCTTTTTTTGGGGGTTTAGGGTTTAGGGTTTAGGGTTTAGGGTTTAGGGTTTAGGGTTTAGGGTTTAGGGTGTAAGGTTTAGGGTTTAGGGTTTAGGGTTTAGGGTTTATTGTTTAGGGTTGTTTTGGGGTTCCAGGGTTTTGGTAGGGTCTAGGCCTCTTTGAGGTTTAGGGTTTAATTTTTAGGGTTGAGGCGTTTGGGGGGTTTAGGATTTAGGGTTGAGGAGTTTTGGGTTTTAAGGTATAGCAGTTTTGGGGTTCAGGGTTGAGGAGTTTTGGGGCTTAGGGTTTAGGGTTGAGGCGTTTTGGGGGTTTCCGGTTTAGGGTTACAGTTGAAGAGTTTGGGCGTTTAGGGTTTAGAAGTTTTGGGGTTTATGGTTGAGGAGTTTTAGGGCTTAGGGCCTTGGCGGTTTAGAGTTTTCGGGATTCGGATTCGGGTTTTGAGGGGTTTCGGGTCTAGGTTTCAGTGTTAGGGTTTTGGGTTGAGGAGTTTGGGGTTCAGATTTTTTTTCGTGGTTTAGGGTTTAGGGTTCGAGGGTTATGAGGTTTAAGGTTCTAGGGTTTAATTCTGGCCGGGCTTGGGTTCGGCTGTCTATTGGGGTTTTCCGGCTTTAAGAATTTATAGGGAAACCCTAAACCCTAAACCCTAAACCCTAAACCCTAAACCCTAAACCCTAAACCCTAAACCCTAAACCCTAAACCCTAAACCGTTCATGGGTGTAGGTCCCTAAGGAATCTTAGGGAAGCTTCGGGAGTGGTGGGGGAGCATCAGGGAACCTTGGGTTACAAACCTCCTTCCCTTAGGAACACGATAATTTATCCTGGTTTAGGGTTTAGGGTTTAGGGTTTAGGGTTGAGGGTTTAGGGTTGAGGGTTGAGGGTTGAGGGTTGAGGGTTGAGGGTTGAGGGTTATAATGTTAGCATCCACTACCCGCCAGCCGCATCTCCTCCAGAGGTGGGGACGTTTGCGTTCGAAGGGCGAGCTTGGGTGTTGCATACCCGGGTCCCCTAAACCCTAAACCCTGAACCCTGAATCCTGAATCCTGAACCCTGAACCCTGAACCCTGAACCCTGAACCCTAAACCCTACTCCTCATTAGTAGGCTGGAAAATCTTTCTTTCTATGACGCTCAACAAAGAGGGTTCGGCAACGGCAATGTTTGAGATGTCCTTGCAGCATGACTACCCCTTGCTTAAGAATCCCCAAAAAATTGAACATATTCCTCCTATAAGGGCAAAATAGGATTCTTTAGTTTTTATTATTTTGGGGGCTTCTTAAGCATATGGTTTCAGTATATACATTATATAGTCCCGATGTACCTAAGTAGCCCCTCAATAACCCTTAAGGTCCCTTGTAAGGGTCCCTCCTTTAGTCCCTAAACCCTAAACCCTAAACCCCAAACCCTAAACCCTAAACCCTAAACCCTAAACCCTAAACCCTAAACCCTGACAGCTCGAATGCCTTCAAACCCAAAACGCCACAGCCTCAAGCCCCGGAACACCCAAAGCAGGGTTTGGGGTTTGGGGTTTAGGGTTTAGGGTTTAGGGTTTAGGGTTTAGGGTTTAGGGTTTAGGAGCCCCCCAAGAGCCAGCCTCAAACCCTAAAGAAACCCCTAAAACACCTAAAGCCCTAATGGCCCGAAAGCAGCCTAAAACCCTCAGCAACACGAACCCTACAAAAACCCTAAAAGACCCGAAGTCCCGAAAGCCGCAAGCGGCAGCTGCCATCCAAGGCGCAGAGCGTTGCTCCGGCAGCACCCAAGGCGGGTTTAGGGTGTAGGGTTTAGGGTTTAGGGTTTAGGGTTTAGGGCTTACGCTTCCTGGCCCGGCCTCTCGAAATCTAGGTTGCGGATTCGGGTTGGGGTGAGGGCTTTGGGTGGCCCCTAGAGGATTCTGGAACTTAGGGTTTAGGGTTTAGGGTTTAGGGTTTCGGGTTTAGGGTTTAGGGTTTAGGGTTTAACATCAGGTCGCTCAGCGATATGATGCAGCGACAAGTGCTGGTGGGCAGTGCACTGCCGGCGCAAGGCGCCGGCAAGCGACATTGAGAAGGGCCAGTGAAGGGCCTGTGATGTCGCCGGTGAGTTGGATGAGGTGTGGTTCCCACACGCACCCGCGAGAGACCGCGCCAAAATCATGGTTGGTAGGAATCTGGGTCTTGGAGTACTATACTTTAATACTTTTTTTGGTTCTGGGTTCCTATTCTAGCTACTTATACCTAAAAAGTATATACTTTTTTTTCAGGGTCTACTCCAAAGCTAAGGAATCCTGATGTTTCTGTGGTGTTTGGGCCGCTACTTAGGGCTGCCCTGGTTCGAGGTTTGTGTAGTTTAGGGTTTAAACTCTGTGGTGCTTGACTGTAACTTTAGATCCTCAGCCTTTTTGGGGTCTATTGGGTTTCTTGACTAGGCAGCTAAGCATTGAATTACAGCTACCCTGCTAAGTGCAGCCAAGTAAAGTTGCTTCGATTCCCGCTACAGAGGTTCCTTGCAGCTCTCAAGGGCGTAGGCATGACCTGAAACTCGACCATCGAAGACTGGGTTTTGGAGTACTATGCTTTAATGACTTTTTTTCTGGTGCTGGGTTCCTATAGTAGCTACTTATGCCTAAAAGTTATATACGTTTTTTTCCAGGGTTTACTCCAAAGTAGGGATAAGAATAAGGCGAGACCCACTCCGAAACACACAAAAAGGCATGGACCTATGACTATCATAGCTATACGGCCCCCAAATGCGGTTTCAGGATGAATGAATGGTTTAGGGTTTATAGGGCTTAGCGTTCAGGATGTCGGAACCAGAGAAGGGCAGTCCTGAACTGAAAGAAGCCTTAGCTTGATAGAGAACCTTCAGCCCTCACCCCAAAACCCCAAGCCCTGGAAGAAACAAGGTCGAATGGGGTTGGGGGTAATTGGTAAGGGTTTCCGGTTATTTTGTTGGTTGCCCTTGAGAAACTATGCTAAACCCGACACCCTAGACCCCACACCCTAAACCCTAAACCCTAAACCCTAAGCCCTAAACCTTAAACCCTAAACCCTAAGCCGCCGAACAGGGCTTGGCCCCCGAATACGTGCGAAAGCAGCTGGCCGCCATGGTCAAGGAGCCCGAATTGGTCGGTTTGAGGGTTTTTACCTGAGGTTTTTAGGGTTTGGGGTTTCGGGTTTAGGGTTTAGGGTTTCGGGAAGCCGGGGCAAAGATTCTCGGAAGTTCGTGCATACGGTTGGAAGAACCCTAAACCCCAAACCCCAAACCCCAAACCCTGAACCCCAAACCCCAAACCCCAAACCCCAAACCCCAAACCCCAAACCCCAAACCCCAAACCCCAAACCCCAAACCCCAAACCCCAAACCCCAAACCCTAAACCCTAAACCCTAAACCCTAAACCCAGCCAACAGGGCTTCGGACTGAAGAGGGTTCTCATACCCTTCATGTTGCCCTAAGCCCTAAACCCCAAACCCCAAGCCCCAACCCTAAACCCTAAACCCTATACGGGGGGAACCCGAAGGGGGACGAGAAACCGAAAAGTCAACCCCAACAGAATCCCTTGATTTCCCTGGATCAACCACACAACAAACCCAAACCACAGGGCACTCACCTTTTACTACCAGGCACATGGCCCAGTCTTGAGCCATAAAAATGATTTCCGGGTTTATTAACCCTTTCAACTTCCAACACTAACTCTTTCTACAATACCAGTTGCAGCTCCGCACTCCCCCTGTCCTAGGATTTCCTAGGACACATTGGAGATGCAGATCTTTGGCCAAAAACTGCCATTAGGGCAGTAGCCTGCTGCTTGACATGCACAATATGGTTTAACGTCTACCAGGACGAAATTATAGCTCATTGGCTAAATCCACTAACCATAGAGAATCTTTTCACCATGATCCTCTCATCACCGAAGACTCCTTGGCCTTCTTCACCACAAACCGTGGTCTTCGCTACGCGAAAAGCTACTGACTTCTACTATCAGGGATTTCCATACCCTTAATAGTAACCACCACATTTGTCAGCACATTGGCTGTTCCAGCGCACCTGTCTCCAGAAAGAGAAAAACCATCCCTTCATCCATACCATCCAATCACTTCTTTTTCCGATTGTTGGCAATCTTGAGGTGAAGTTGCAGCAGAATATACTCCAGGTCCGAAACTGCAAGAACAGGATCCTGTACGCCCCTTTGAATTGAGGATACCAGTCCTTCTCTTTTCGCGTCCTCAATCGCTTGGCAAGGTTGACCCAGCTCTGCACTCACAGCTGCCGACGCTTGCTCATCCACATCAGGAGGACGATCCTTTTCTTCAGGACCTTTCACCACCACCACTTCTCCCTTTTGGGACTCTGACTTTTCTCCTTCTTCTTCGCCTTTCCACCGACGATTGACTTTGCGCGCATTCTCGAGGCTTTTTCCCCTGCAGAAACCGCCGCATTGGTTGATGATCCACTCTTCTCAATGGTCGCCGGCATCTTCTTCGGCTTTGGAACCAGGAGAGTATAAGGATCTTCGATAACCACAGGTTTCCTCTTCTTTTTAACCTTTTTTGCCTCCTCCTCAACGATAACTTCCGTCTCAGAAGTCTCAACCACCTCCTTCTCGGCAGGAATATCTTTGCTGGACTCCCTTTCCAGGGACCTCTTCTTGCCCCTTTTGGGATCTTTTTCTTCTTC